TTCTCTCCCACAGTACGTTGTTGCTAATAGTGTCCGGCCAACGGATCTGAAGTATTTTCCGTAGACAACTGTTAATAAACACCTGTATCTTCTGGATGATGGCTTTCGTAGTTCTCCAGGTTTCCGCCCCATACAGTAGAACTGTCTTGACATTTGTATTGAAAATCCTGACCTTGGTATTGGTTGACAGTTGCCTTGAGTTCCAGATGTTCCTCAGTTGTAAATATGCTGCTCTTGCTTTGCCGATCCGCGCCTTCACATCTGCATCAGATCCACCCTGTTCATCAATGGTGCTGCCCAAAAATGTAAAGGTTTTTACATCTTCCAAATCTTCTCCGTCAATTGTGATTGGATCGGTGCATGTTGTGTTGTATCGGAGAACGTTGCTCTTCCCTTTGTGTATGTTGAGACCTACTGCTGCTGAGGCTGCTGCTACACTGTTCGTCTTCTCCTGCATTTGTTGTTTCGTTTGAGATAGAAGGGCCAGATCATCTGCGAAGTCTAGATCGTCCAACTGCATCCTAGATGTCCATTGTATCCCGTGCTTCCCTTCAGATGTTGACGTCTTCATGATCCAGTCGATCACCAGGAGAAAGAGAAAGGGTGAGAGTAAGCAACCTTGCCTAACACCGGTCTTTACTTCGAACGACTTTGTCAACTGTCCTCCATGCACGATTTTGCAGTTTAATCCATCATATGAACTCTGTATGATATTGACTATTTTCTGAGGCACGCCGTAGTGTCGAAGAAGTTTCCATAGTGTTGTTCTGTCCACGCTATCAAATGCCTTTTCGTAGTCAATGAAGTTGATGTAGAGTGATGAATTCCATTCAATTGATTGTTCCACAATGATCCGTAGAGTTGCGATTTCGTCTGTACACGATCTATCCTTACGGAATCCTGCCTGTTGGTCACGAAGTTGGGTGTCTACGCAGTCCATCATCTTGTTTAACAATACTCTGTTGAAGACGTTTCCCGGTATTGAAAGGAGAGTGATGCCCCTGTAGTTATCACAGTTGCTGAGATCGCCTTTCTTCGGTATTTTGATCAGAAGTCCTTCTTTTCAGTCTTTCGGTACTTGTTCCTCATCCCAAATCTTATTGAAGAGAATGTGGAGTATCCTTGCAGTTGCTGCTACGTCTGCTTTTAGTGCCTCTGCTCGAATGTTGTCCGGTCCTGCTGCTTTGCCACTCTTTATTTGTCTGATGGCCATGCTGATTTCTTCAATTGTTGGTGGGCCAACGTTGATTGGGAGGTCCTTGTGTGCTGCTTCGATGTTGGGTGGGTTCAGTGGAGCTGGTTGATTCAAGAGTTCTTTGAAGTGTTCTACCCACCTGTTTTGTTGCTCTTCAATGTTGGTGATTACCTCGCCTTCCTTACTTTTCACTGGTCGTTCTGGTTTGTGGCGATTTTCAGAGAGTTTCTTTGTTATGTCATACAGTTGTCTCATGTTCCCTTCTCTTGCAGCCTTTTCCGCCGTCTTTGCTAGGTCTTCCACGTATTTACGTTTGTCGGTTCTGATGCTCTTCTTCACTTGTTTGTTTACTTCTGTGTATTCAGCTTGTGCTTTGGCTTTTTCTGCTCTTGTTCGACTGATATTGATTGCTGCCTTCTTGTTTCTCCTTTCTTGAATCTTATCCAGTGTATCAACAGTGATCCATTCCTTGTGATGGTGCTTCTTGTGACCGAGGACCTCATGACATGTTGAAGTGATTGCCTCTTTGATCCTCTTCCAGTCGCTCTCTACAGTAGTTCCTTCTCCATTGAGTAGATCATGAAAGGCCTGAAACTTGTTGCTGAGGACTATCTTGAATTTGTTGAGTTTGTTAGTATCCTGAAGAAAGGCCGTATTGAACTTTTGTGATATTGTCCGCCCCATTGTCCAGTGCTTCTTGAGTTTCAATTTCATCTTGGCGACCAGCAAGTGATGATCTGATGCTATATCAGCTCCTCTCTTGGTTCTCACGTCCTCTATAGTCCTCCTGAACGTTTTGTTGATGCAAATATAGTCGATTTGGTTTTGCGTGGTGTGATCCGGTGAAGTCCATGTGGTTTTGTGAATGCGTTTATGTGGGAATATGGTGCCGCCTATGACCAGTTTATTGAAGGCACATAGGTTTGCAAATCTCTCACCATTTTCGTTTCTTTCTCCCAGTCCATGTCATCCCATGATGTCTTCATATCCAGTGTTGTCCGTTCCAACCTTGGCGTTGAAATCTCCCATCAGAATGGTCAGGTCCTTTGTTTGGCACTTCTCGACGATTGACTGCAGCCTATTGTAGAATTGATCTTTAACTTCTTCATTGTAGTCGTTGGTAGGCGCATTGCATTGGATGATATTCATTGAAATGCCTTCCTTTTTTGTTTCGAACGAGGCTTTGATGATCCTTGGTTCATGAGATTCCCATCCTATAAGTGCATTTTGTGCTTGTTTGGACAGCATCAGTGCAACTCCTTGTGTATGTGAGGTATTGTCTTCTTCAGGGCCGGAGTATAACAGAAGCTCTCCTGAAGTTTGTCGTTGTTGTCCAACTTGCGTCCAATGTGTCTCACTGATCCCAAGTACCTCTAGGTTGTATCTTCTCATTTCTGCAGCAATTTGGAAGGCTCTCCTGGTGTCCCACATTGTACGAACATTCCATGTACCTAAATAAATGGTCGCTCGGGCATCGTCCTCGTAACTTCCGAAGGAATTCAGCTTTCATCATGAGGCGTCATAGTTCTTCTAAATGAAGACCTTCTGACTCCCAGGGCAGAGGTTAAAAGGTTTGAATAATTCTTTCTGGTTAGCGTTTCTTTAGCGAGTTAGTTTTCTACGGGATGGGGACGCTAGCCCCATGCCCAACCCTTCTCCTTTATCCGGGCTTGGAACCGGCAGTAGCCCCCGGAGGGACTCCAGGCGGAGTTGTCTTTATCAATAGTTGTCTAATATTACCATTGCAATTGACTGATCGCTATGTCAGATTTTAGAAACTGTGAAAAACTGAGTTCGATTGGTCTCGAGCGCTTACCATAGACAGAGACAAGCTGACAGGTGCGTGTGTAAAAAGTTATGGCAAATGATTTATGGAAATGCACAATATCACCAACAAGCTTAAAAATACATTTGTGATGGTCGTATAATTACACCCAACAGTTTGATTCATCCTGCCACATAGATTGGTTTTATGATTGTAAGTTAGATTACTTGTATATTGTGATTAAGTGATTGGAGAGTCACTAACACCTGTGTCAATACCAAGTTTGATCATCTTGAGTGGAGTTTTAGTGGCCCGTGGATCAGACTCCAATTAGATAGTACGAATGATTGTCATCTCCTTTTCTCGTACATCATCGTCGATTTAAATCACGTTAGTCAATAACGGAATTTACATGTCAATTAACGAGAATGGCCTTTGAATACATATATTTCGTAAGTAAAGTGAATGTGATAGAACAGAGCAAAATGACGCACAGGGAAGATGGCTGGGAAGCCAACTCCATTTCAAGCCAGGCATTACTCAATATTTATAGGCAGACAAAATAAACAACAGACATGTGATGAGTCATGGGACATCAAGTGTACACACATATACGCTCATATAAAAACAATCAAGACTGACAAGCGAATAATTGACAAGGTCAAAATATGGCTCAAGTAAAATGAATAAAATAGGATGTCCGAAAGTTAGAATAAGGTATATGGGCTTTCCATAATAGCTGACACTACAGAGTAACGGAGCGTTTTGATGATTTTTTCGGCTACGAAATTTTTATCATTTCTGATTATCGACTTTTGACGTAAACCCTATCGGTAGATGCAGACTAAATAACTCAGGTCTGACTCCCTACACATCGCGTTAGAAAAGAAACAAAGACATGCGAAGTAGAATTATATTTGACAGAATAGCCAAAAAGTCAAGATACAAGTTAAAGAAATTGCAGCCTAGCGTCTGCATGTCTTACAGTCTGATAGTAATCCAGTAAGCTTATCATGATTAGCTCTAAAATATTGAAATAATAAGGTTCATCATGAAGATAAAAAAAAGATTGTACATTAGAGGAACGTGGGTTTACTGATTGTATACTGTCTTCACTTTCACCTAATGCTTCGGTTGTTAACTGCGTTTTTTCGTTCGAAATTATGAAGTAAGTCTTAAAGCATGAACTCACTATGGTAAAACATTTATAATCACGGTGAAATACCAGTTACGTATGTAAACAAAGACATAAATCCAACAACAGTATTTCCCTAAAGCCACAATAGGAGAAAGGAGACGGGGCTTGCAATAAGAGAGTTCACAATTAAAGTGTCAATGCATATACAATGTTTTCAGTTTGTTTTCATGTATATTACTTTCTTACCAGCTCTCAGTTACTATAATAAGTTGATATTCCCAACATTTTGTTTCATTTGTTTCAAGTCGTTTGAGAGCCTAGTTATTTTCCATACTTCTGGTTCATAAGTTATTTTAGTCTTGCCCTTCCCTTTAACTTCTAGACCACTACGAAACCTTTTTGTGATACTTGGAGTATTGAGGATTTTCTTATTGATCAGAATTGAAAGTTTTCTACTGAAGAGAAGAACTAGATATAACCCATAGCTATAACATTTAGTCCAATGACATTATCTTTTGATAACCTACTTTATAACATGATACAGTCTTGCTGTCGTCATCGAGTAGCTAATGTCGATTTCGTCAGTAAATTATCAGTTTGATCATTCAAATTATTCAGTTATTGTATCAAATCGATTGTCCTGTCATAAAACTAACTACTATTACTTATCTCATTGTTTAAGGCCCTTAGATATCAACCGACAGGTTGTAAGTTCGAACCCTACCGCTGATTTACTTAATCAAATAGTATCCCTGGTACTTGTTAATCAGATTACATTGTTACGATTAGTTGATAATTTGTACAATAAACTGGGTATCTATTTAAATCAACTAACTTTCACGATCAGCCAAAATCCTATTAAATTATAATTATTTGAATGAATTATATCGTAAAAAGTGAAATAGGTTGAAACAAGTGTTATTATTTTCACTTTCATGTGTTTACAATCAGAAATCGAGCAATGTTTGAAACAAAAAAATGCGAAATTCGTACAAAAATTTCTTCTCATTTTTACATGTAGTAATAAATAGTTTAAATAGAATATATTATTCGCTTTTGTTTTTACAGTCGTCTATTTGAACTTTCTATTTGAAGCCACCAAAAAATATTGTTCTCTTCCAGTCGACATTCTCTCAACAGTTTTATGAGTCGACTACACTTACCTCAAATTATTAACTTAAATCTACTAAGATCTCCAATGTTTATACTTTAAGTAGGAAAAAGCGGAAACAGTTACAATGGAAAGAGAAAAAATCAAAATGATTAAGCAGATTAAATTGTGATTATATAAGTTTTCTTTTAGATCTTTCCTTCGAAGCACTACGAAATAATGAAGTTGTTAAATTGATCGTTGAAAAGTGATTTGCTTTGGTAAATATTTGCGAAATTCTACTAGTTTGTGAATGCTGAAGTAATTTGTCACCGATCTTCTGTACATAATGTTCATTAGTGTTCATAACTGTTTAAATGAGCAAAAATAGAACAAAAAAGCATTATAATTGAATATATGAATGCTTCAGGAAAAATGTACTGTAGGACGTGAAGCTTTCTAGGGAAAAGTTTAAATAGGACACTAGTTACTATATTTATTACTTTAATACAAGTTTTGCTTTAGACTTCTGCTTAAAAGTTTAATATATCCACTTTTTATGAAATTTTACTAATAATGATGGTGATTTGCACACTATTAAATAACTCAACACCTTATTACAAGTGAAAGGTGTAGATGGTGAGGATAACTGATGGAGATCAGTGAAGACTGAACTACCTCAAGTTACATTTTAAACCCTCTCCTTTCATTACTTTATGTGATAAATCTATGAGAAGAGGGAAAATAATCGTCATTAATGTTTGTGGATGATGTTAAAGTATTAGGAACTGTATATGGCGATGATGATAAAATGAGGTTATAGGTAGACCTTGATGTCCCGAATGAGTTTAAGAATTGACAATCACCAAAACAAGATACTTGTAAAGTGTAGTTATTCACATAGGCGATTATGGTTAGATGAGCGTTTTTCCCGTAGTTTACTCATCCTCAGGATCTACAAGACATTGTTAGATATGAACATCGAATCATATTACTTAGTTGGTGAAAATAAACAAGTTTTCTTGTTTACTTATTTGGGGCCCGTGCGATCAAACCGTAAGATAGGGGAGCAGTCTTAGTGATCTAGTCCGAGCACTAATTAGCTCACCTAGAACGTCTATCTATTACCAATGATCTTAGACTGATCAAGAACACGTCAAATGTGAGATAACGGCTGAGAGTTCAAAATGGGGGTTCCCACTCTCACCCTCCTGATAACCATAACAGAGAAGGCAAACATCTTCTAATTGTAAATTCGTGATTTACGAATCACTCATACAATAATACAGAGCTAAATTCCGACCACTTATCAATAGAAGTAAGAAATTACCATGTAGGCATAACTACGTTACAAGTGGGAAAAAACTGAATAATAGGTCCGTTGTAAATTACCAATAATTAAGCAAAGGTGAAATACACAACAGTGATTTATGTGTCAAACAAAAACATATAAGTAGAGTAATGCAAAATTATAATAGTTTTAGTACCTTATAATTATGGGCCAAAATTAAAAGTAGAAACCTCAGATAGAACTATTCCAAAAGTTCATTTTCGCTCAATATTTGTACTGTTATAGCACGTAGATAACTGCAAAGTAGAGAGGGATTCCGACTACGAAGGACTGAAATATCGTGACGTTTTCCAACTGTCTCATTCCTGAGGTATGGGCTTATATCGTGTTTCATTACACTAAACTGAGGTCCCAATGTTAATGTGTCTATTCGTACTTTTGACCAAGAATTACCACCTAAGTTGACATTCTTGGAAAAGTCAAGTTATAATGATTTGGAGTTGATGATCAAGTTTACTGCCTACGACATGCTTTCAATGGACTGGAATTGTTCTCTCTGTCAGACGAAAGTGACAGCTCTGACACCACGTTCCCCTACATACTACTTACAGGCGGTTACTAAAACAGTACTACAGTACGACAGTGTCAAGAATAATCTAATAAGTTCTTCATTTTTCAAAATCTTAAATTTAATTGTTTTTCAATATATCTTGTAGTTTGTATATAAGTGAAATTTATCAGGAAAATGTTTTTCTCCTCTTGTATATTTGACAAGGAGGAAGTTTAAGTTATCAAGACTGAAGAGATACTAGCAAGTTGTTTCGTGATTGTCTAAAATATTTTGGGATAACATTCAAACTATAATTCAACCATTTCAATTTGATTTATATTCAAGTTAATTTTTAAAGTATTACCAATGATATTCTCAATATACTTATAACTCAGTAGTAAGAATAGTAGCGATAGTGATAGTAATGATAATCAAAATCTGTAACATAATTCTTGCGAAAATAGGTTGCGCAATAGATTTGTTTACTCAACTATCAAAAACCAAAGACCTCTGGACAACTGGTTCGTTATAGTATTGATTTACATAGTGTACACTCACAATTCTTCCAGAAATCGAATTCAGAACGTGCGGGTCTCGTAATCTGGTCTTTGGAAGCTGTTTAGTCAGAATTAGTCCTTGATGTATGTTTTCAAACTGAATAGTCTCCATAAGCCTCTCAACTTTACCATATCCTTCGTTACAGAGAATAATTCTTGACAATGCAATAAAGTTTTAATTATTCGATGAAAAAAACTAAACTATTGCTGCAATAATTATCTTTTATTTATCATTAAGGACGGAGGTTTTCCGCTAGTTCTTTTTTTATGACATTTTTGTCATAATATGATATATCTGAGCCACAAATTCCAGTATTTTCGACTCTTATTTTCTAAATAAACAGGCACAAATGTATCAGCCACTGTGGTAGAATTTTGGAGTAATAGGCTTCAATGTGAGTTGTGAGCCTTTTATGAAAGCGAGTAAGTGGATTTTCATGTCTAACATACTCTGTGGATAATTTAAGACATATCCAAAGTAATGACATTTCTAAGAATAGTTAGACAATTAAGCAATTAGTAGCCGAGCGGTATGAGTAAGCTATTCGACATGGTCATTTCTGATAAAAAAAATCGACAACTTAACCATATGAGTTATTGATGTTCAACAGATCAGTGATCTGTAGAAGTGAAGATATTTAAACAGAAGACATTATTTAAACAAAGTATCATGGCTTCCATCGTTTCATTTATCATATCAAAGTATTTTTCATTTTAAAACTTTTTCTAATTATAAATTAATTGGATTCACTTGGTGTCGTTTGCTTGTATCTTCCCATTGTTGTTTAGGACTTGAATTGATCAGTCTTTTGTTGGAATATATGCATCCTGTGCGGATTGCCTCGATATTGCCTTAAGTCACAAGCTTTATAAGCAAATATGGATAGTGGCTAACAGTGGAATCCAGGACGCGCGTTTCATCCTTTTTGAGACTCGCGAACATCAACTCTGAGATGCAGGTACAACCAGCTGACGAGTCCCAAATAGGACGAAACGCGCGTCCTGGATTCCACTGCTAGTCACTATACATCTTTACTTATAAATTAATTGGGTTTGAACATTTCTGTTATACTATAATATTATTGTTATCGTTAGATTGATTGAAACAATAATAAAGAGGACAAACCAACATTCAATTTATACATGATAAAGAAAAATTAGTCATCAACAAAATAATGGGCGTATATATATTTGTGTTTAATGTATGTGTATTTATTCGTCAAGTCAATTAATAAGGAAAGAATATTCCAGATTTGTCTATTTATTACATAAATAAAGGGTATTTATGAGTCATTCATAAAAGTGAATAAACAAGGGGTTAGAGATAACAGACTTGATTTTTTGTTTCACTTCGTATATATTACAGTAGTTATATTTAATTTAAATGATTCTTCTTAATCATTTAAAAAATGCATCCCCAAAAATGATGTTTCATGAGAATTAATATGACTTTATCATCAGAAGAATTAATCACTGAGTCACAACTCAAAAGTTGAATGTTTGTCTACATCACATTGAGAACGAAATTGAAAGTCAGGGGTTCTATCGGATGAGATGTTACTGTTTGATGTCATACTATTTTTAATAATTTCTCGGCTGATTTGGATTTGATGATAAAAAACCTCATTTTTCAAATTTAAAACAAACTCCTATTAAGTAGTGAAATAAGGAATTCGATATTACGATTGATTGAATGCTAATATAGTTGACTAATTGATTTGACAATAGCTTTCGTCGAATATTAACACTGGTTGAATTGTCATTGAAAGTCAGGAAATGACGAAACAGATGTTTTTTCTGGTCTGCAGTTGTTTAACAATAAGATCCCAAGACTCGGGACTTTCAGGTCTTGTATAGTTTAAAATTCAGTATTGTAATGAACACTTGAAATTTCAAAAGATGACTAGAGTGATTAAGACTTAACTTGCTAACAAGGAGACTCGTGGTGTTTTAAAAAATGTATGAGCAAGAAATCAATAAAGTTAAACAGTAAATTTTTATTTCAGTTTAGTGTTTTATGTTATAGTATAAAATATGGTTTATCCTTTAAGTAATCTCCAACATATTTCAACTAATCAATTTATTTCTGTTCGTTACTTACAAACGTAAAATCGATCACTAATAGGTAATCATATCTATAATGCAACTATTATAATCAGAGATGGATGGTGGCTAACAGTGGAATTCAGAGCGCACCTTTCGTCCTATTTGGGACTCGTCAGTCTAACTTGCCTGCGTCCCAGAGTTGATGTTCACTCCGGGACTCAAACCTAGTGCCATTCACTTCAAACACCATCGAGTTACCAACTTAGCTACTGAGTACAGATAACCACAGATTTATGAAATGGGATGAAGTCTGATTAGTTTCTAATGGCTGTTTAGGACTTGTCATTGATTTTTAAGAACTGAAATTGATCAGTTTCCATATCTGCTTATAATGCTTGTAACTTAAGGCAATATCGAAACGATGAGCACAGAATGTACATATGTTAATAGGAGCAATTCGAAACATCAATGGGGAGATTCAAACAAACAATATAAAATTCATTATATCATTAGTGTTAAAACAGGTCAACCCATTTGAAATTTAATATATTACTTCATCTACCCCAAAATAATTATAAATCTTTTATTTTGGGCAGAAGTAAATTGAATATTTAGTCTTTGATTTATTGAAATAAATTTTAAGCCATACAAAAAAGGTTATTAAAATAAATTGTTTAAATTTTAGTGGTCCCTGTATCTGACTCCGGGTCGATCGTATGATTGATTGTTATTGAATGATTGCTGTCGAAATATACATCCTGACTATTCTCGTATATTATTATTGACTTAATACGCGTTAGTGAATAACTGAATTAAATAAGCCAAATATTAGAATGTGTTTTGAACAGGCACTCAGGGAGACGAAACAAAGAGGGAAGAGCGAAGCAGATTAGAGAAGTAGATAGAAGAGGGCGAAGAGCAATGATGCGCAGTGGAGGAGGCGTGTGAGCCAACTCAATTTAGTCAAACATTGATCGATATTTATAATTACACAAAAATAAGTTACAGCCATGTGATGAGTAAGATAGGAAACGCACACATATACGCTCATATAAAAGCAATTAAGGTTGACAAGAGAATAACTGATATGGTCAAAATGTGACTCAAGTAGAATGAATAAATTGACTTGTCCAGAAGCTACAATAAGTTATATGGGCTTAACATAGTAACCGACACTACAAGATAACATTGTAGAGATTAAAAAAAAGTATTCTCATAATTAACTTGATATTCTTTTATTTCTTGTGTGAAAACAGATTGAATCAAAAACGTTTATCAGTAATCTTGAAAATTCTCAGTTAAAAATAATTACATTAGCTGAGATCATGAGTCAATTGGAGGTAGACTACCATGAAAAACCTAGAAGCACTGAATGGCCATTTCGTCCTATTGTGGGACTCCTCAAAGAAATACAAAGAAATACTTAAGATCATTTGCATTTTCATAAATGCTCATACCATACTTTATAAGTAGAAATTTTCAAGTTTATTTATTATTATCTGGAGAATATGTGATATAATTCATGTGAATTATGTCTGGCATAATATAAGCGACAATATTGTGTCAACTTGCTCAACATGAATTCTTGCGAGATTCGAACCGAGGAGCTATCTGTCTCGCGCGCGAATACTAAACCTCTAGACCACTGAGCCCCTATCTAACAGTGTTAATATCTAGCTTCAACTAATCTAACATTTTGTTTGACATTTGAGATGTCAATTATAAAGAAAATATATTTTATTTATCAAATTAAATACAACAATTACATTCATATAGAAGTTTTTAAAAAGAGATTTTATTGTAATTGACTAATTAGATAGTGGATGATACAAGCCAATAACATAATTACTTTTCAAATATCATGTCTTGTTCACCATTATTGATAACAGATTAGCTAATCAGATACTTTGTTTATAAATGATAGTGAATAATATCATGTTTACCTAGTTCTTTTATTATTGATCTAATCCATATTATTAAATTGCAATGTAAATTCTAATGTACTTGACATGACGTTGTGTGCATATGAAACTCATCAGTAAGGTGTAGCTGTAATCTTGTAGTTCGACAAAATAACTCGGTTAATATTTAAGAATGTACTCAATAATTACTGAAGTCTTAGTCAAAATGAAGGCACTATCTAGTAAGATTTTATCTCACTAATATCAAATTCAAGTAAATCACTATCTGATAAATAAATTTTTCATGTAATCAATACTATCATGAATTAAGAAAAACATAAATGGACTTACCTTTTGTTTTATATATATCCAAACGTGTCTTCTCTGTATATTTATTACATTTATTGTTATCACTGTTATTATTATGATACTGATGATGATCGATATGAGTACCATTGTCAGTATTATATTTCTCTGAAAGATTACAGTTATTGATATCTTGATTTAAGTTTGGTTGAGAAAATGAAAATAAATTTTCATGTAAACTTCCAGTTTTTAATTTTAATCTATGAATATTGAAATCATCATTAATAATTTGATGAGGAGAAATACAATGTCTAGTTGGAGAATAACAGTTGTTAGGTTTATGGGATGAATTTTCAATTTGATTAACTGAATCAATTTGATAATTATATTGAAATGTTGAACGATGCTCTTGACCATCTAATTAAAACACAATAACATAACACAATAACATTGATATTTTATGGATACATGAAAGATAAAAAACGAATGATTAAAACGTGATAAGAAAGGTGGTTTTGTGGAGAGTTTCAAATAATTTTAAAATGATCTTGATAGAAAGTTATAACTGTAAACCAGATTTAATTAAACTTGTCAGTAAGGAGCAATCACTAATTGATATGAGATCGAACTTCAGATTTTAAGATCTTATGGTGAGAAAAGCCCCACTAGCTCGTTAAATCACAATCTGTATACTATGCTTTTCAACTACAGATAATTTGTGATATGGTACAATACCCAGTTGAAATGTTTTTGCTTATGATGATTATTTAACAATTACAAGTGAAGAAATCCAGATTAAAACTTATTAATAAAATGTAGTGATTACTCAGCGTGCATATACTCCTCCTACGTCTCGAATACAGGATTCTTACTTAAGCCTTGATAAAAGAACAGTAATAGGTCAGCAGTTGTAATTAAAACCGAGAGGATTAGTCGAAATGGTAATAACTTAATGTTGTATAAATTCTCGACACTAAACTGTAGATACATTTACGTATATACGTTTCTCTTCACATTAAGGTGAGATATCATCTTTAAAAAGTCTTCATATGGATAACTTTATACCTTCTAGTGTGGTTGGAGACTAAGAAATCTTAAACTGAAAACAGTATGTTTTGAAATCTATTTTTTTAATTAAAAGTTTTGAAAATGTTCATGGAGGTGGTACCTTTTATTGTAGAATGGAGTGAAATAATAACTAATAATTTAAACATCACCATCAGAGCAGCATATTTATAATATCCTTAAGTAACCGTTCTAAAATTTTATAATTATGTGATAGATACAAGTTAAGCACGATTGTCGGTTCTCAGTTTTACTGACTAATTTGTTCTCTCCCACAGTAGATTGTTGCTTATGGTATTCGGTCAACGGATATTAGGTATCTTATGTAGACAACTATTTATAAATACTTGTACCAATTTGATGATGGTTGTGGTAGTTCACCAAGTTTCAGCTCCTTACCGTAGGACTGTTTTGACGTTCATATTGAAGATTGTGACTTTGACATTGGTTGAGAGACAGTTGTTTTGAGTTGCATATGTTGTTCAATTGTATGAATGCTGTCCTTACTTTGGCAATCATCGCCTTTACATCTGCATCAGATCCTCCTCTTTCATCGATGATGCTGTCGAGTTAGGTAAGTGAACGATTCCATCTGTTACAGAGTTTTTCCATTAAGTGTGATTGGGTTGGTGTGTTCTGTGTTGTATTTGAAGATGTTTGTGTTTCCCTTGTGCGTGTTGAGGCCTACTGCTGCAGAGGCTGCTGTAACCTAGTTTTTTTTCCACTTGAATTTGCTCGTGTGTATGGGATACAAGGATCAAGTCATCTGCGAAGTTCAAATCTCCCAAATAATTCCGAGCTATCCATTGTATTCTGTGTTTTCTCTCAGATGTAGAAGTCTTCGTAATCCAGTCAACCACAAGAAAAAATAAAAAGGGAGAGAGTAAGCAGTGTTCTACACTAGTTATACATAGTTATTACATCGGTGTATCTTCTGAATAATCAAATTTTCCACAACTCAACTCAATCAACCGAAACAAAATCATATTTAAAGAATATAACTTACTATTTAAAATATTTTTTAAATATTTTAAATGTTCTGTTGCTTTGAATAAATTATTCATTAATGATCCGTTTTCTTCGCTTAAACAATACTGAAATATTAAAGAAATGTAAGAAAAGAAAAGAAACTGAGCATTAAAAAAGTGTCAACCGTTAGTCTTGGAGCTAGCAGAAGTTTCAATTTTATTTATCGAAGTTTCTATAAATGTAATTTACTTCTCAATATATTGCCAAGACTCGGCTCCTGAGCCATTGTGAATCCACTTGTTCAAGTTTAGACAATAGTTCTCAGAAAATCGTTATTACGGCAGTTAAAAAAATATAAGGTAATGGACACGGAATAAATTAATTTTTGCGTGTTGCCCATTAATAACCACTAGAGATGTCATTTTGGAATAAAAAAAATCAGTTATTTTCAGCCTTGATGGTTGCTATGAAGACCATTAGATCACTAAATTGAAATCCAGTTGATAAAATATTTTGTTGTTCAACTCAAATTATGATAATCTTTTTATTTAACATCAGTCAGAATCCTAGGGAATTAACTTTTATTGAATAAGTGAGTAATAACAATGAGTTATAAGAGTTTTAACTTTCCACTGTTGATTTTCATAATTGAATTTAATCAGCAAACAAGAAGATGCAATCTTTACAGTTGATACGTGTTTATTGAAAATATTTGTTGTTTGTAACTCATTTGTTTTGTAGATGAGAAGTTTATTAATTTTGAAGAGATAAAGATATCACTTAACACTAGCAAACGGAATGAAAGTCAAACACACCACAACAAGATAATGTAAACTATTCCACTGCGCCTCAGACCTGCTGACTAAATGGAGAAGACCAGATTTAGTTGAGAGAAATATATGTTCCACAAGCAGACTTAATGCGCGAACGAACAAACACACAAATCATTAGTATATATATATATATATATATATATATATATATATATATATATATATATATATATATATATATATATATATATATATAGTTCAAAATGTCATCGGAAAATGTCACAAAATAGTGTACTAAAACAGGAAACAAACCAATGACATTTAAGGTTCTTCCAAGTTGGAAATACAAACCAAAAGTAAAAGTGGGCAATTTCAGCGCGAAAATCAGATGTTTACCAAGTGATTCCTGAGGATATATTATCCCTAATAAAGCCAATGCATGAATCAATGTATATTGAATGTGAGTCTATGTGAACATGAACACTAAAATGCTGTAAAGTTCTTATTAGAGTAACATGTCGAATTTCTTTGTAAAAGACAAGCCAGAATATAAATCAGTCGTAAGTTCTGAACCATAATGCATCTTAAATGATTTAAAATAGAATTTCAACAAAAAGATTCCATTAATAAACGTAACAATAGTAATAAGAGAAGTCATAAGTTTTAATAAAAAAATTAGAAAAGTTTAAAACAGTTTAAAGTTTACTTATCTATTATCATTACTATACTTATTATTATTATTATTATTATTATTATTATTATTATTATTATTATTATTATTATTATGTCGTTAATCTACTTTCAACATAAGCTATAATGTTCAATGACACATTGGATAGATGTTTAATTTAACTGTGTATTCTATATTTTTTAATATTCCTAAATTTAAAGTGTTCTCCATTATTATTATTATTATTATTATTATTATTATTATTATTACTGTAATTATTATTATTGATAAACTAATAATAAAACTTCAGATTTCATATTAAATTTTAGTGAAAAAATAAACCAAATTATTTTCGAAATGAAAAAAGATGTAATTAATAAATATATATATTAGTCTGCTGGGATCACCGAGTAAGTAATAGTGAGGTTCGACGCAGGGTATTAGGGAATGATGGTAAATCAGTTGATGAGGTTGTGAATCTTCATCGACTGAGATGGTTGAGCCACGTGTTACGTATGCTCAAACACCGATTACCACGACGTGCAATGCTAACCGGTGTTCGGTATGGTTGGAAGAAAGTTAGGAGCGGCCAAACCAAAACGTCGCATCAGTGCTTGAAGTCACTAACTGCTAGTCTGAGCCATGTTGGTAGATGCAGACTACTTGGTTGGGGTCCGCATGACTATCGTAACCAATGGTTGGAGACTCTTGGTGACATGGCTCATAATCGATCACAGTGGTGTCGGTGTATACACTCTCTGTCTTCCCTTAAACTAAGAGATTAAAATCACTTCATATCTTTCTTTCTACTAACTAATTCTTTCTTCCTGTACTATATCCTTATTGCAATCTTTCTTTTATATATTACCACCTCTGAATTAATTACTTTTATGAATCCGGTGTCCATCTTGTTGTGTTAATGAGGTATGGCAACTTGAACCGATGCATATATGTGCTTGATCCTACTTTGTAGCTGACTGAATGATTGACTGATATATCAGTACACAATAATAAAAAATCAGTGATACTATGTTTTACGGATGAATCAATCAGACCTAAGATAACGAGTCACGAATTTTGGCGGGAAATTCATCCATATATTTGGGTAAATAGAGTTTTGGCATTATAGCTTATGTCAGCTTGTGATGAAAACTTTAAATCTAATTTTTAACCCTAACTATCAAGTGTAAATGAGAATTATTAGTGCTTTAAAACCTTCATCAGTAGGTGTCAACTCTCAACGTCACTTCAGCATCTCTCAAAGGTCGTCCATAAATTGTAATCTCAGCAAGAAATCATTAAGATTTTTAACAGGAAATGGCAATGGAAGGTAATTTAAAGAGATTTAGTCACATAAAATATCAATGGTTTTCCTAAGATGTTCATTTGCAAATAAAGTGTTCATATCAGATATATATATATATATAAGTCTAAATCAATATTATTTCAAAAGTTGAGATCATGAGTGAATTGAAGCTACACCACCATGGAAGACCTGGAAGTAATGGACGGCTGGTTCGTCCTATTTTAGGACTCTTCAACAGTGAACATCCACGATCTCGCTTACAGGATTCAAACCGATGACTTATCAGTCTCGCATGTGAGCGCTTAACCACTAGACTACCGATCCAGTATCCAATAGTGTTTATATCTAACTTTAACAAATCTACGAAATTGAACAACACATCCACCATTGTCATCAGTAAGCTACTATCTCACAAATAACCTAGTTAAATTCCACTGATCACTGCTTCTCATTAAAACTTCAGAATATACATCTTGAAACTAGTCACTAATAAACATATGTTGATTAATAACAGAATTGGTTTTATAGAAAACGTTTAATAAAGGTGTTAGGATGTGCAGAAAAATATACCAATAGTTATCATATTAAATCTAATGTTGACCTTGGACGATAAATGTACATTCCCTATTGGTCGATATTTACTTCACTTGTTTAATATTGTGTAAATGTTGTTTTCTATTTTTATGGTACTATGTAGTATGTTTGGTTAGTATATAAACAGAGTGTGTTTGAAATATAATGATTCATATCTCAGAGGCTATGACTTTCGTTCTGGACTCAACTGGTTGGGATAGACAGGGAAGCAGGGCCAATCAGGACACTAGGTTGTTCGTACGTGTTTACGTGTCACAGAGGCGATCGATATAAACGCTGCTGATCAAACCCTGCAGTCACCCACCCGTTACAACAAAAGGAGAACAGATTAAAATGAAAAAAATAAATTTTTTTTTCTTTAAATTTCCCACTATCAATCGTATAATCAAACTATTTTGTTATCATTTTATTTATTATAATTTTTATATAAATAATTCAATAGACCATTACAAAATGACAATTTGGATTAAATAATTGAGATTTTTTTAAAAAAATAAAACAAAAAAAGGAGAACAGAAAACAAATCCAATTTTAACTCATAATCTGATATATAGAAAGCATAATACTAAAGTTTTTGTAATAGACCGTAAATAATTCACTTTTTAATTACAAAAATTGAAAAAAAACACAATATTAACTATTACTGTCTCTGTTGTTTTTTTTTTGTTTTTTTTAGGCTGATATACTTAGAATCCAATTTGAATATGATAATCAAATGCATAAAATGTGATGATAATAAAGTGTAATTCCATTGTTTTAAGTTAACTATATTTATGATTGAAAACAATAAAAAAAAACACAACAACAATCAGTCTCCTTTTTTTAAGCTGAACTAATTTGATGAAACAATATGAAATTGATTTTTAAAAAAAATATGGTCTCTTTAGGTTAGATATGTTCAAAGTCAAATGAAAAGGTAATATAACTAATCAGAAATTTCATGCCATTAGTTCCCTTTATGAATTTAAATAGAGCAAGAACAAACATTGATGCAGAATAGTATGAATTTTATATTATTTCAAGGTTTCTCATCAGCTGCTTATAAACCAAAATTGTGATAGAATTTTTTTACATGGAGTTAGTGTGAAACAATTGACATACATAAGTGTAAATAACTGGATTACAATAATATATATATATATATATATATATATATATATATATATATATATATATATATATGTTCTTGCTCTATTTTAATATAACTTAATTTTATTAATAAAAAGATTAAGTTTTCTAATGATAAATGCTTTGGTAGACTTATAAACAAAGTTGATCAAATATTACAAATGATTTAAACAATCTATTTTTATTATGATAGAAAATGATTTTCTACTCTTTAAGTTTATTGAAGCATATGATACTAATGGATACCAAACATTTATTTCACCCTTCAGTATTGATAATGTGATTATTCATAAAAGACTGATCAAATGCAGTCTTAAATCTCAATGGCAAGTTACAAGCCAAATCATATCAAGTGAATTTAAATTCATCCCATTGCACAAACAAGTGGCTATCAGGACTCAGTAGCTGAGTGGATAACGCGATGGCGTTTGAAGCGAATGGTACTGGGTTTGACTTACAGAGTAAAAATCAACTCTGAGATGCAGATACATCCAGCTGACGAGTCCCAAATAGGACGAAACGAGCGTCAAACTGGATTCCACTGCCAGCCACTATCCATCATTGCTTACAAACTCTTGTTAATTAAGGCAATATCGAGGCATACGTACAGTATGCACATATGCCGATAACAGACTGATCAATTGCATTCTTAAACCTAAATGGGAATATACAAGCCAAATAATACCAAGTGTTTATAAATTTGTTTATAAATGAATCTATATGGTGCTAGGAAGGTCTTAAGTGATCTGTTTTGTTTCTTAGTTATTAACAAATTCTTTTCTGTGACGATAACATCGAGTACAGTTTTCGAAATCTATATTTCCGCACGATCATGCTGTTTCCTCATTGGTTTTTAAAACTTTTCCACCCAATTTTTTAATGTCCTTAAGTTATGTTTTATCACTGTTTATATAACATTGTTCGCATTCAATTTTATTTTTATTGACCATTGAGTTCTTACTATACTCCATCTATCTTCTTGGGTTTCAATGTTTAGTGATTATTATTGGAGAATTTTGCCCATCAGTTGGCTCATTACTGAGTTCGTATTCAATCGATCCTCATCGTACGTAACTAGAAATTACTGGAGGCCAGCCGCTTTGTTAATAATGATTTACCAAATCTGAAATTTTGTAAAAAAGACGTCTTATTAATGCTTGGTCAAAATGTTTTCATTTCTACTGTCCTCGCTTTTTATTAGATTATACCAATTCAGATGATGCAGTAGGTAAGTTATAAAGTTAAAAAATGAACAATATTTTTCTGAAACTTTCAAAAGAGGTGATGTATATTTCTTTGATTGACTTATTCAAGAAAAGGCCATATCCATATAGAACCTCATAAGTAATTAGGAAAAGTCATTGGATTACAATCTTCAAGGTAATTATTCTGAGTTTGAATTTTCGAAAATTCAGCTATTCCAGAAGGTTGGTTTGTAAAACTAGGTATTCATCTAAATTTTTCCATATCCTATTTTAATCGATATGAGCTAGCCAAATAATATTTAAAGGCTTTAAATAATACTCACGGTTTAAAGGTAGCTTGCAGTTTGAATATTAAATCATATTGTCATTATTACCATACTTTTGTACTATTTAATGTTTACCGGAAAATAAATAGATAAACACCAGAATATCGATCTAGCTTCGTTATATATATAACGAAGCTAGATATATATATGGAGAACGAGATCTCAATAAAGGAAACATTCATGTCAGTTTTTTAATGAAAACAATTCTTAAAATGGGTAAAACAACCAACAGTATATACATAAAAAGAATTGTGTTTAACTTCAGTAATAATTGTATAGAAGAGCATACATACATACATATATGAAAGTAACTATACACTGTAATAAAATAAAAGTAATTCTAAACTATAAATTTTACAGTAGGAAAATTTCTAGAGAAGTTGAATTCTGTAAGTAAATAATAAAATAAATTATTTGGAATAAATGAAGATTATTGTTTATTGTGATATACTACTAATAAAATTACCAATTTTTTTCTATCTCTCACCTTGCCATAAACCAACAAGCTTTTGATCCGAAAGGATTTTAAGAGAATTATATATGTAATGAAGGCAATGTAAACAACAACAACAACAAAACACATTGAAAATTGAATAAATGAATTTTTCAAACTAACGTCTCAGAATTATTTATTTGAAATAGTATGAAACGTCTATAAAGAAGTAGGTATCATTATCAAGGTTTGACTTGATGATTCGGAATAAATTAAGCAATGGATAGATTGTTATTCAATGAAAATATTATATTTGTAATATCCTAAATGAGTAGAAAAAATTAGATTTTCTGAGATTTCGTGATTTGGTGTAAGTTACTTCTTCAGAGAGTATTGAATAGATTGTTATTAAATAAAAATAATATATTTGTATATATCCTAAATGAGTAGACAAGATTTCAACTTGAATTTATTTTAATTAAGTTATTTATTCTCTAAAGAAATAGTTTACCATTAAATCATAAAACATTATTTATAATGAAATTTAATTAACAAATAATCTCAGCGATTGAAATGTGAATAATTCTAATGTTTCGTCCAGCTAACTTGTCTGAAATTCTTCAGGGTAATCATTAAAATCATCAAACACATGATTTGCATTTAACTGACTCATGTTATTCTATTTGTTTGCGAAATCAACTTCCAAATAAAATTGATTTAACACAGTATAGTTTTGATTGTTAAAAGGCTATATATTTCTTTGATAATTTTGATTATTACCCTAAAGAAGTTTAGACAAGTTAACTGAATGAGACATTGGAATTATTTGAATTTCAATCGCTGAGATTATTTCCAAATATAATTTTCACATACTCGGCGCCAAATCTCTGTCAAACTATTCGTTCTAATCTTGACAAATATTCATATTAATTAACAAACATATTAAATATAATAATGAAAAAACAAACAAAACAAACATAAAACTTACCATTTTCCTAGTTACTTCACAAAATAATTCATTAATATGTTTAATACGAATAGAAAGATTAGTTTTTGTTTTCATTTCATCTAATTCCCATTCATTTATATTTTGTATTTCCTCTTTTTTCATAAATTTATATTTTTCTTTATTATTTATTTTATTTTCAAAATTATTTTTTTCTTTTTTATTGATTATTTCATATTTTGGTAATAAATAATTATTGATTGATTGAATATTTTTTAATTGAATTATTTTATTTGAATTATTAGTTATTGATTCTAATGTAATATGTGATTTATATGAATCACTATCATCAATATTATTATTATTATTATTATATTGATTTTCTTCTAAATTATAATAATTTTGATTTGTTTCTAATTTTGGTAATAATGTAGGAAACATTGGTAAACGATATGAATGTATCATTGTTGTAATTTGTGATGAATTCATTGTGAAAATATGAGATTTAGGAGTGAAATTAATTTGATTTTCATATAGTTGTCGATTTTTATTTCTATTAATTGAATGGAAAAATTATAATTTAATTAGAAATGAAAATATAAAATAATTAAATATTATCAGAAAGGATTTTAAATAGTTGAGATCATGAGTGAATTTAAGGTAGACTACTATGAAAAACCCAGAAGTACTGAACAGTTATTTCATCATATTATGGGATTCTTCAGCAGTGCACATTCACGATCTTGCCTCGCGAGATTTGAAACCAGAACCTATCAGTCTCTCGTGTGAACGCCTAATCTCTAGATTACTGTGTTAATGTCTAACTTCAACTAATCCACGAAATTGTGCAACTATCTTTCTTCATTGTACTGAGATGGATACGTGTCTCTAGACGACACGCATAATTAACAATGGTAACTACAATCTAACAGAAGATCTTTTGTAATGTATTTTAAAGGTTTTGAAATGTTTTCTTATGATTAACAATAATATAAATATTTTTATGTCTACTTAATGAAAGAAATACATGAATTATCAATTATCTCTCATATAGAAGCAATAGATTATTGATTATAGATAGGTCAATGGATGATTTAAGTTAATCATTCAACTATTAATACTTAATAGTTTATGTTTGTTAGTGATAATAATCAAGTATTTAAACATTGTAAGTATTAGAAGTTTCTTATTAATTGATTATCTATCAATCATAAAAGAGTCATAGTGTTTATATTAACATTATAAATGAATTATTGTTGAATATTTGACATATATTTCTGACAAATAGATATTTTATGAATATGCCTTAATTGAATGATTTAATCCTATAAAAATGAATGAATTTAATTTTACTGAATTAAACGTATTCTAGGAATAAGTTGATGTATTCAGTTAAATAGATTTCTTTTCATAGTTGAATAACGATATTTATAGTAACGTGATAGTTATTTATTTCTTTGCAAATTAATAGATTAAACAATATTAAATTGTATTAAAGATAAAAGATTGAAACAGATTATTAATCCTTTGACCATTTAGTTAGAGTAGAATTGTTCAGTATATCAATTAAAATTTCCTGTTTATGAAATTAAATGAGTAGTTTTATGTGATAGAAAACTAAATCTATCAGAAATGAGATTATGATGTATAAAATGTAAGCTTAAAAAAGGTTGTTGTATGACATCGTCTAGAGATTCACTAACACCTGTATAGTAATAAATGGTTTCACTCTAGTTTAAAACTCTTTAATAGTGACTGATTATGAAACCACAAAGGAATAAACTCATTGATGTTCATATTTTGAGGCAATCACGGTGTTACTTATGATTGCTGAACTAAAAATCAAAGGTCTATACATTCAACTCAAAGAATTCTATTTCAGTTATTCATTTCTTGTTACGTTGCTGACACTCAAAATTATCAGAATTAACAATAACAGGTAAAATTTAATGAAGACAGTCACTCTATCTTGTTTAGCTTTAAATATTTAAAGTGACGAGCAGTAAAGATGCTGTGGTAATGTCAGTTTAAATCAATGGGATGCCTGGAGAGAATCAATAATTAAAAAGAAGAGATAGATGGTGGATAGCAGTGGAATCATGGAAGAGCGTTACTTCCTGTTTGGGACTCGTCAGTTGGATGTGCCGGCACCCAAGAGTTGGTGTTCACTTTGTGACTCAAACCAAGTATCGATCGCTTTAATTTCTTATCCACTTAGCTAAGACAAAACGCGCGTCTTGGATTCTACCACTAGTCATCACTCATCTCTGCTTATAATGCTTGTGACTTAAGGCAATATCGAAACAATCCATACAGGATGCACACCTGTCAATAAGAAACTGATCAATCGCAGTCCGAAAGGTCAATCGGGAGATTCAAACAACCAATACAGAAATGAATTTAAGAATCAAAAAGAATCATTAATCATCTATTCGGTAATTATTACATTATTTTGCCGGTGGTAAGTAATTAATATCTTAATTAAATTACCATAATTGTATTCTATAAAAATTTCAAACTTTCTTTATGATAATGAAGGTGGTAACAAGGAAGAAATCTACGCATATTTTGATCATTTCAAGAAGGCAATGTCAGATAAAATAGAGTGTTCAAATGGTAGAATTAATTTTTATGTATTTCTATGAACAATGTATGAGACATTGGGGCGTATGAAACATTTGAGTGTAGGACTTTCACTATTCACGTGTTGGGTAGGTAGAAGCACATAGTAGATTGCCTTAGACGTATGTTTCGTATCAGCTGACATACATTTTGAAGATGTATCTATTATCTTGAGGGAACCAATTATCCTTCATAAGGTTTACCAACCTATGCATTCAGAAACTCTACTACTGAGCTTTTTAACACTCCATTTATCTCATGTGAGACTCTAGTGTCAAACATCATGTTGTATAGTCTCTGGTTGTGAGCATATCCATTGATTAAATTTACCTAGGTGGATAAGTTCATGTTTACCATTGAAATAATGGACTGATCAGTGCTACACCGCCATTAAAATTTGGAAGCACTGGACGGCCGTTTCATCCTAGTATAGGATTCCTCAGCACGACACGTCAACGATCCTGCGCGCAAGACTTGAATCCATGGCCTTTGATCTCACGTGAAAACGCTTAACCTATAGACCATAGAACCGGCCAGGATCGACTGTGTTAATGTTCACCTTGAACATGATATTACGCGACTATGTTACATTGCCAAGAGTATAATCAAGTTTAAGGTAAAAGAAACTTTTAAAATTACAATATATAGATAGTTAATAACAAAATACTTTTATCAGAATGGGTTTTGTGGAGATTTTAGAAATTTCACAGATTGAAATCATGAATCAGTTGAAGCTAGTGGAGTTCAACCAGGTTTGTTGTGAGATAGGAACTCACTGAAGACAATGGTTTACGGTGGCGCAACTTCGTGGATTGGTTGAAGTTAGACCTTAACACCGTTGGATGCCGGCTCAGTGGTCTAGTGGTTAAGTGCTCGCGCGCGAAGCCAGTAGGTCCTGGGTTCGAGCCCCGCGTGGTGCAGTATCGTGGATGCGCACTGCTGAGGAGTCCCATACTAGGATGAAACGGCTGTCCAGTGCTTCCAGGTTTTCAATGGTGGTCTAGTTTCAACTGATTCATGATTTCAATCTGTCAAAAATACTTTTGTTAATGTTCAATTGTTTAGTATCTAATGTTAACTTAATATTTTAATTATTGACTTGCTTTTTTTAATTTTCTTTTACAAACTGATTATGTAAGATATTTAAAAGAGGTTACCAAATGAAACCATATGTTTTTCTTGACTGGATCATTTGATGTAGACTTTCAAAAAACTGTAATTATGCTATTTTATTAATTACACGGAATAGTTATTTGAACACTGAAAAATCAGTTTGTCGAATATCAGCTTGCTGGTGTACAGAGATACAAAAAAGTCATAAAGACCATCTTCCACCGCCAAAATCAGTCTGACATAAAAAGGAATAGATATGTTAGTTGGTATATAAACGTGTAAACTGAATTTAAACTTCCAAATATAGTATAAAATGAACTTGAAAAGTGCGATTACAAATTTTCAGTTCATGAAGCCTTTCAATGAGTTTTAAATCTTCGGAAAAACAAATTTTTAGTGTTCATCAGTTCCTCATAGTCATATAATAATTCATGATAATTGTCAGTATGAGGTTTTGAAGTTTGTAGAATTTCCACACTTAAAATCGCTGATTGATCTAAGTTAGACCACTAATGTGAACTTAGAAGAACTAGAGGACCTGTATGTTCTGGTGTAGCACTCATCAAGAGTGCACTTCCATCACCTCATCCAGATTTCTAATCAGCTTTGGTCTGACTGCATCAAGAGATAATATAATTAACATAATAGTTATTGGTATCAGTTAGACAAATACAAATAAGCCAAATTAGACTCACTTGTATATCGATTCAGCGTTTTATACTTTACACCAATAAAATGAGGTTAAAGTACAAAGAATAATAATTCAAAGTTGAAAATAATTACATGACAACTTGTAATAATAATTACTAGTAAAATAGGTAAAGAATAATAAGAGGAAATAATCTGATAAAAAGGTACAAAATGTCACAATGTTATTAGTTGTATGAAGAGCGGATGAATTGGTCTCATGGACACTGATTTTGAAGTAAATCAAGCACAGTTATTAATTGAAAATGAACGTAATTATTAGGACACCAACCAATAAGCATTCACGACCGAATATGACTTGGAATGTGTCACCAATTTTGTCAACTACTGTCATATCTTTGTTTGACTGCTCTTGGACTTGTTCCAAACCACATTATTATTGTTATCACTAGGATTGTTATCATTAATACGAGTATACTTGTATATCATGGTCATATTAGTGGTAACGCAGATAAGCTAAACGTGTGTAAATCATTATACTTTTGCCAAGGTTCATCACTCTAATCAGCCGATTGGCCTGAAATAGATACATTTTTTATATAATAAAGTAAATGAGCTATTTCGTAGTTTTTTTTCTTCTTGACATAGATAACAACCGTAAGCCAAATATTGAGTTATTTTTTAAAACAAAAGTCATAATACAAGTAATCATATCAGAAGTCACCTCATTATGAACTTATAAGTTCAATTTGTTAAAAAATATCTGAGTGTTTATGAAATGTCGGGTTTATTTCATCTAATTTAGATACATCATTATTATTATTATTATTATTATTATTATTATTATTATTATTATTATTATTATTATTATTATTGATAAAAGTATGCCATGTTATTCTACAAATGATAAAAAGTATGTATACATTGACAGTTGAATTCACGAGTCGATCTGAACTAGACCACCATTGCAAACCTGGAAACACTGAATGGCCGTTTCGTTTTAGTATGGGACTCCAGGTTTTCGGTGATGGTTTAGCTCAGATCGACTCAAGAATTCAACTGTTAAAATTACAACAATCTTCATGGATCCCCATTCTGATATATATGTTGATGATTTTCTTCATTACACGAAGAGTGCTGTTTGAGACTAATTTATCACTGATTAGCAAACAGTTTCACGTTTCCTAGTTTTTTTTTGATGGGTAAATTTTATCCTTGTAGTGTAGCCAATAGTTTAGGTTTCTCGACACGCTCATGTATTTTGTTTGATTTAAGGTTGTGTAAAGCCATCAGCAGAAATCCTTGAATATTGATTTTATGGTAATTAATACTTTTCAGCAAAGCCTACTAATTGATACTTTTCGGAGAATCTAGACATTCGTTACCCAGAATTTCAATTAAGGATCTTATTGATGAAGTTTATGAGCTGTGACTTACTTTCTGTAAGACTGAGATGTTTAAAATAATTGTTTACTGAGTGGTAAACCCGAAATGCTGTTATATCAGTTCTAAAGGGATTCAAACAACATGTCAGATGCTGGTATTGCTTAAATTCATTTTTCCTATTAATATCAGATAGAAATGACACATAGAATTTACAGAATTCTAACATGGAAAATTGAAATCCGAAAGCTAAATACTAACTTTTCAAATTTAATCTGCATAAACATAATTAAAAAATAAAATAAAATCCCCTCAAATATGATAATTTTTGCTAAGGAATTCTCTAAATATAAACTTATAGTCCAAAATAACCATGAACGAGCAACAAAACTAATTTAACAACTAAATATAAAAATCTCTTTCATGTCAAATAACAAAAGAATAAATGAGTGAACTCAGCAACTATTTACGTCAACTGTAAAATGGTTGGTGTGATAAATCATGGAGTGATTTCGGACGGTTATAAATGTAGCATCAATGGCTTACAAAGATAAATGGTCATAAACTAAGTACAAGTAAGAAGAGTTAAATGATCATGAAACAGCAAAAAGTAGTAATCTGTTCACATATTGACCTGAGTTTGTAGGTTGGAAATCAATATTATATGTTATAAGAGTCAAACAACATTTAAAAAATTATTCAATAATTAGAGCGAAGAATTGTGTGACACAATTAAATGTCAGTATAGGGTTGTGAAGACTGTTGGGTTTTGGTTGAAATTTAGCGTTTGTGAACAAGACGGAGGGTCATGGGTTCGAATCAGACGTGAGGTATCGTGGATGCACAATGCTGAAATGTCCCATGGCCGTCCAGTGCTTTAACGTTTTCTTCGAGGTTTACTTTAAAAAAGACTATTCAATCATTTCATAAAAGTTAATGTCATATTAGGTAGTCATTAGTGATTATCTATCGGATTTTCTCGGTTAAGTTTGTTATGTGTCACTGATGAAGTAACTTGACAACATAGTTTATTCACTTGTCATTTTAATCAGTAAAACGTTATTCGTTATAATTTTTATTTTGCGGGACAAAATGGTTTAATTGTGAAAACTTTAATTGATGTTCTGGACCAATGTAATTAGAGCTTACTTCGAGAAGAACGATAACAATAGCTTTGCAAATAAAGCATTTAGGTTAGAGTATGGACCATTAACAAAAAGTCCATCCGAACAAACAAATTTTATTCATTATTTCGAAATATAAGGGACCGAACACCATAATATTGTTTAGCATTTATATTCTGATGAGTTACATCGAATCAGTTTGTTCATAGATCATTTACAAGTAGCATAAGTCAACAGTAACAATTTGAACTATACCACTAAATGGTACTGTAGTGCGTGCTATTTACATTGATATAAGTAGTTTATGGCGCGAGTCAGGAATTTAATGTCTGGCAGCAGAAGATGGGGAAGATCAAGAAAGGAAGAGCAGGAATAGAAAGCAATTAGTATGGAAATGCAAGAACAACGAAGTTCGAGACAATTCTTGAACATTTTCCAAATTAAGTATTATAGTGTGGTTTTTCTATTTTACCAAGTAACTCTGTAATTTTATGCTAAATATATGTCGATTGTCCCAACCCTGGTTCTGTTCACAATAGTACGAGTTACCAATCACTAATAAAGAAAATTCAATCTTCCTAACTTTTCATTTATATTTTATTAAACAATTTTCTATCAGCACTTGATTTCAACCATTATGTATATTTCCACAAAAGAAAAGTTTGTTTTTTAAAGATGAATTTGATTGAAAACACTTACAAAGTATTTGATACTATTTTTATATAATGAAATAGAATGTTACTGTTTATTCACAAAATAAATGATTAAAATATTTCTGATTTATGTCTGAATTATTTTTATTGATTTGTAAATAAATGTAGCATAGTTACACCAAAAGTAAACAGTTTGTTGACTTTCTAATGTTAGAATATCAAATGATACTAATAAATGAAAGAAAAACAATGATTACTGTCTGCAACTTATCAGAACTATTTTTATTAAAGTCATTGAATCTTTTCAGAGATTAAATCATGGAATGATCTTCATTAGACAACCACTGGAAGTCAAGAAATATAGGATAGTTATTTCGTTGTAAAAATATCTTGCCTCAATAGTGTTCATTCATGAATCCATTGTTAGGTATTAAACCTAAGACCATCGGTCTTCAGCTTAATCTTTTGACCTATTGATCACTGAACTGGGATTCATCGGTTTAACTTAAGTCAATTTATAATAACGCAAGACTATCTTCATTTACCTATTATGGGTAACTGTCCCATAACTAACATAAATGAAATGATCAAATTTAAATTTTTATCAGTATTTTACTGAGCAGTTTTACTCTGAAAGATTAGTTTAAATTATAGGTAACTTTTGTAGTGAGTAACATCAAAAGTCATCAAATTGTAGGCAAACATTCTATCCTGTACAGTGCAGATTCACGAACATCATATCTTAATGTAAGAGCTTAAGTTTCTAAACTATTAAAATGAAATCCAGTAGTCCTAATTGTTAATTTTTGTGACGAGTTTTACAGATAGTAGAATCCAAGTTTGTAGAAGATATTACAATTTGTAGAAATTTTTGCTAACTGAATTGATTCGCTTAAATATTTTGTTTAATTATCCGGTCCAAACTTTACCAGATTTACGTAGTTCGATTGTAAAACAGAGTATAAGGTTGACACTTATCCCATGTTGTAAAAGTGATTACAATATACTATCATATTTAATGTTCATGGTTCAAGCAATGATAAAACTGTGGTTAGCATATATTTCTGTTTCTTGGTAAAACTTTAATTTATGGACGACCTTTGAATAACGCTTTCGAATGTCCACCTACTTAACAGGGTTAAATGAAGGCTGAATGTTGTAGTTAGGAATTGGATTTAGTGTTTTCATCACAAAGTGATATCAGCAACAATGTCAAGATGCTATTTAGCCAAATGAATGAGTGAATTTTGCGCCAAAATCCAAGATCTGTTATCTTAAATATGAATGGTTCGTTTATAAATTATAGTCTCACTGGTTTCTTTCCAATTATAAATAAAACTTATTGTTGTTTCTGAGCTTTATGAACTCTATATATTGCATATGATATACAGGTTTTGACAGGGAGGATTTTTTTAAAAATGTTTCAAGTTGAAGGTAAATGGTTATCAGTTATTCTTGGTAATCAAATCTTTGAAAAATTTTTAAAGCAGTTTTACAACAAGATTTCGATTCTGTGCATGAAATTTTCTTAGTGTATCTAAATTTATTTCATGGAATAATGCTTCTGTTTTTAATACAGCTTTTTTCATGACCAATCGTTCTACGACCATGATAAATGAATTACTTGTGTGCTATTTTTAAACAAAGTTGGATAGTGGCTAGCAGTCAAATCCAGGATACGCGTCCCGTCCTATTTGAAACTCGTCAGTTGAATATAACTGCATCACAGTGTTCATATTCAATTCAGGATTCGAACTCAATGCCTCTCATTTGAAACGCTAAGATGTTATACTTTTAATTACTAAATCCAAATAGCCATTGCTAGGCAATGCACAATTCTGCTTAAAAATACTTAAAATGGACGTATGCCAAAACAGACTGGTCAGTCCTGGTTCTTAATATCAACAATGAGATAATCCAAACACTTACAACTGAATTGGATTTCACAGTTCATGGTATATATATATATATATATATATATATATACCATGAACTGTGAAATCCAATATATATATATATATATATATATATATATATATATATATATATATATATATATATATATATATATATATATATATATATATGAAAAATTTTAACAATCCATGTAAAATGAGACCTTTTCAATTAGTATTATCGCATATCATTAAAATGAGGAAACAAATGTAGTGGAGTGAGAACTTTAAAAATAAAATGAGGGGTATTGAAAAGTTGTGAATAAGATGAAAGAATGATCTCATTGTGAATCGTTTATTCTTTTTCGGTACTTGTTACCTGAAATCTTTAGCTACCTATTTTTCTCACTATATACAAGAATTTAAAGTTGTGCTTAGAGATTCATTTCCAGATATAATCTACTGACCAATATGTTCAAGAATCAGCTTTGTATCTTGCCATCAACACATGTTATAACAGTCTTTAACTATACGAATAGAACGTTCATCCCTAATGGATAAGGTTCACATCCCAAATGACCTGACGTTTTTCTATCGAGAACTGATTGTCTATTATTAACACTATCCACTTTGATCTAAAACCATAAATCAAATACTTACGTGAAGAAATATTGATCATGTAAACACTTTTTAATCCAGTCAAATTATGATACGACTACTGGCTAACTAATAACTTATGAATGATTTACTTAAATTCATCTCTTTTCAGAATATAAACAAAAAACATTAAAAATATTACACTTACTATATATTCAACATTGATAATGTTTTCAACTTCATATGTGAATTTATTACCGCCATATAAAAAACAAACAAGTAACTAACTAATAACAGATAAACAATAAAGAATTTACAATATTTTAAACCAGAAATGAATTCACTTTCTATTGATCACAAACAAATACGTGTATTATATATGAGTTTTGCATAGATGTATTTATATTATCAACTAAACATTATGTGTATGGTTGTGCATGTATAGAAGGTAACTCAATCATTATGAATATAAACTTTGTCATCTGGTTTCTTTAATATATATATATAAGAAAAAAAAAACTAATGTGATCAGTTTTATACTACTTTTTTTTGTTTTACTAAACTAATAACCAATTTAAAGTATGAAAATTCAATGGTGAATTATATTAGGTGTAGACAAATTTATTGATTCAAAATATGATTTCATAATTATCTTCAATAGTTTAAATCAACTTTATGTCTACAATAAAGAGATAAATGTTTAAGATTTTATTTGACCAATCTTAACTGTTATGTAAGTTGCTCCAGTGGTTGATTCGATGTATTGATGTATTTGAATTACGGTGTTGATATTCACAATCAAAATCGAACTCCGTGCTTATTATCAGTTAGTATGTTTTGTCAAATACAATTCAGTATAGATTGTGTAAAAGGTTCCCAACGCGTCTTCCACTAAAATATTTAGTCACATTCTTAATTTTAATAAAACCACGTTATCAGTGTATCTAATTTAAGGAGGTAATTCATTGACATAGACTGGTGAAATTGAGCTCAGCATATATCAGCAACCTGAATGCATCATCACTTTACGAATGAAGGGATTGGTTGTTTTTATAGTTTGCAGGAAGATAATTTTAGAAATTCAGATATAACAGCATAGAAAATTGGTTTTTTCTATAGTTTTATGTACGGCGACATGTACGTCGGCTTTTTATTATATACAATTTCAAGTACAACTTTTATCTAGAATAAGGTTGTATTAGTGAGGTTATAAAAATACTTTCAAAACTTCTTTCAGTGACATTTTTTGAAGTTATTTCGATGAAGAAAAATAGTATCTGCTATAAATTACTGTTTTAATTCATAATAAAAAATTAAGTCCACCCAAATGAGATTTTATACAGGTATATGGAGAATACTATTAATTAGTACATTATTATGGAAGAAGAGATGAGGTTATCAAGTATTACTTCAGGAGAACATTTAACCGAAAACATATTTATAAAATGTTAGCATGTTAATCAGACGTTTGACCTAGGTTAACCAATATCACAGTCTGAGGAATTGCCAGTGATTTCTTTGGGTTGTGAGTAACTTCCAGTAAGAGTGATATTTTCATTAATTAGCAACCAACCTCATGCTCTTTTACTGCTTAGTATATATGAGTATAGTCGTTTATTCTCGGATTCTTTTTATCATAGTTAGCGATTCGCTTTATCGAAGAGTGTCATTTACCACTCAATTTTGAAATATCTAATAACGTTCATCTCAATGTACACATAAGTATCATAACAACTACTCTGAAACTTGGTCAATAGAAATTCAACCAAGAATCAAGACCAAACAATACGATGTTAGTTACTAGTACTACTACTAGTGCTACTACCTGTTCTATATTTCAAATGCATTATATTATCACTTGAAGTAAAGTAGCTGTGATATCAAAAAGTGTCCTTCAATTCTTAATTCAGTCAGGAAAAACTTGTTTCAAAAAATACATAATAAATGATTTTATGATATTTTCTTTAAAAAAAACAACAATTAAAACGAATTACTTATAAACTTTCAGTAGAATTGTTAGTAGTTTTTTTAAGGGAAAATAAATAATATGTATAGTTGTAAAATATTTAGCCCATTACCAGTGGAGTTCAACCAGGTCTCTTGTGAGATATCAACTTACTGAAGAAAATGGTGTACGGTGGCGCAACTTCGTGGATTGGTTAAAATTAGACATTAACACCGTTGGATGCCGGCTCAGTGATCGAGTTGGTTAAGCGACTGGCGCGAGACTGATAGGTCCTGGGTTCGAATCTCGCGGAGTTAGGGATCGGTTTGGGCACCCGGGCAATATCACAGCCTTCACACATATCGAATGAGATTTGTGTGGCGCATATGTATTTGGTGCCTCCTTGTACGAATATCTATGTGTTAAAATAAATAAATATGTTAGGGATCGTGGATGCGCACTGCTGAGGAGTCCCATCCTATGACGAAACGGCCGTTCAGTGCTTCCAGGTTCTTCATGGTGGTCTAGCTTCAATTGACTCATGATTTCAATCAGTGAGATTTCTAAAATCTCCACAAAACAAAATTATCTTCTTATTAAATATAATATATATATATATAATATATAATATTTTTCTCTATCACATCAAACTTTTTATGTCAAAAGTTAAATTGTCACATTTCAAATTTAATCTCTATGTAAATTAGTTCTATTATCTGATATAATTTAATATTCTCTCATTTGGAAATAGAATTACTACCAGAGTTTGTGTGATACAACAATAATAACATCATTTCCGATAGTGCTCTAAATAATTCTCTATGAGTAAATTATAAGAACTTTAAATATTTAATCATTGTTATTAAACTTTCCTTCATACTACCATTGGAACTTTTATATTTTAAATGTTAGATAAAGCAAAAATATTTTGTTATTTAATGCATTATTTATCATTGGAAAATAAGTGTAAACATTGTTTTGAAAACAGAAGTCTATAGAATGATGCCTACTTTCTACATAACCTGAAGAAGCTACAATTTATAACCATGGAATTTAGATCAAAAGATTTCATGCAATATTTTAGTAATATAAAAACAGATGGGTTTTTTGGAGATTGTAGTAATTTCAATGGTTAAGATCATGAGTCAGTTGAAGCTAGACCACAATAGAACGAAACGGCCGTCCAGTGCTTCCAGGTTCTCCATAATCGTATAATAATAAAAAATCAATAAAGAACGAAAAAAACTAAAAAAAGTAAAATCAATAAAAGTAAATAGATACAAAATAAATAAACGTTTTTATTTAATCATCGAAGAAGCAATACGTTTTTCAGCATAATTTAAAGAAATGTTCAATGTTTTATTGTTTTATAGAAGAATTTTCATTTAGTAAACAATTTTAAATATTTATTTTTAATGTATCTATTAAAAATTCATTGTTTATTTTGATAAAAATCAATCGATTATCACTTTGTCATAATATTAGTGAATTTTGATTGAAACAATAACAAAAGTAAGTTAGTTTTAGGTATTCAAACAATCTATTGATAGTTATTGAGTTTAAATTTGAGATGTAACTAATTTATTTAAGCAAAGATGGATAGTGGCTAGCAATGGAATCCAGGACGCGCGTTTCGTCCTGTTTGGGACTCGTCAGCTGGATGTACCTGCATCGCAGAGTTGATGTTCACTCTGGGACTCAAACTCAGTACCGTTCGCTTCAAACGCCATCGCGTTATCCACCTAGCTACTGAGTCCTGATAGCCGCTTGCTTGTGCAATGGGGTGAAGTTTAATTCACTTGATATTGTTTTCAATGGGAAGATTCAAGTAAAAACAATATCAAGTGAATTAATTTATTTAGGTTTTTTTTATGAGTCAGATAATATTGTAGTGAACAGAACATGAATGGGAACAATCGAATGTATTTGAGTACAAAATTACAGAATGTCTCACTAAAATCTGAATAAGTCGTTAATTTGCAAAATATCAATCCATCGTTTCAAACTTGACTGTTCTTCTTTGCAAATATCAGTCCATTGTCTTAGATTTCATTGTTCATGCATTTTTATATCAAATGTGTTCCATTTCCGTCTTTACCTTATCGACTTACTGAAATACATTCTATGCCTGATCAACGTTATATACTACTTGTGTGGATATAAGTAACCAACATCACAGTATCACTAATCCACATATTGAAGACATAAAATAGAGTACATAAAAATTTGTTGTGAAAAATAAATGACATTATATAACTTTATTTAAGTGAACAAACTGTACATGGAACATCCAACTTGATTAAAAATAGAATACAATTTAGAATTTATATTTACTGAAGTGTTTACACGTAAAAGTTAATAAAATAAATAGATTAGCTATGTAGATAGGTACAAATAAATACAGAAGCTAGATTGTATGATTTCCTGAATTCAAAAAATTTAGCAAACAAAGTGAACCGTGAACTTGGCCATTACACAGGATATGTTGATATGTTAGCATATGTTCAATTTACACAAACAATGAATAATACTCATTGCGTATTGTCTTTCTAATATAATTTCTTCCGGTCATTAGTTCAATTAACATCATAGTAGATCAATGTATTTTTATGGAAAACACTATTTATGTATGCCATTCCTTCCTTCTAACCATCTTCTATTTCAGTTTACTCAGGTGTAGGGAAATGTGTCAGATGCTCAAGCTACTTTATTTTATCACAATTCACAAACTTGTCAATCACTATGCTATATTTATTTAGTATTGTTGTAACTTTCTAAAATATAAAAGTATTAATCATTCATTTTATCACATTTTTCAGTTCTTTGACAGCTATTAATTTTAAAACTAATATCCTTCCTTCAGTTTGCTAAAAATTACTGCTGCCCTAAATCATATATATATTAAAGTAGCTCGGACATCTGACACATTTGCTTACACCTAAGCAAATTGAAATAGAAGATGGGCGGAAGCAAAGAATAGCAATTCTGACGATGTGTCATTAACCTGTGAAGTTACTGTCTGTTGAACTAATCCACATGTGATGATTTACCGTTATAATCTGTTTGGTCATTACGGGATTTTTCAGAATTTAACCTTCCTGAGAACAACATTTCGCATAAACTTAGGAGATGAATCCATATTTTCAAATATGGTGGTCAAGTAATATCATAAATTGACTGGCGTTCCAGTGGTCTTAAGATATCGTAATGGGTATGAAACATAAAAAGAGCTTTGTTTTCATAACATCATGAGTGTTTGGTATATCAGGAAAGTTCAAAAGTGTTACATTCTTTTTTAAGGTTGGGAAGAACATGTAATTTCAATCTCCCTAATTTTCCTGGTTGATTGGGTAAGCCTTGTAAAGAGTGTATTAAAATTGAACTGCATTATAGAACATAGCATTGTTGAATGCTGAAGAGTTTCGAACTAATGTTAAGCAAATTTCTGTGTAATCGTGTTTCCAATATTTCTTCAGATAACGGTAGTTCGTACCGAAAATCCATTTTA